ATATGAGTATCATAGAAGATTTCAAATTCGCTTTATTCACTTTATCTTGAGCAATTCCCACCAAACAAAACAAAAACAAAAACACACTGTGGGAATTACCTGCTGTCACTAAAGCTTGTGGTTTTGCCCTGAAATCCTCTTATTGATGCAGAGGCAAGCTCCCTACAAAGCCAGGAATGAGGAAGCTGATTTTCATAATCACGCTCCCATGTCAGAAAGTACCTGGAGGATCTGCCCAAAGTAAGCTTCCCCCAGGCGGTTAGAAAGATCCTGGCCATTCATGCAGCAAATTAACCATGGTGATATCTAACTAGCTTTGAAATGAAAATTCGTTTTCAGGTATTTGTAAACCAAGACAGTCAGAAGGGAGTTGCTAAGGGATTTTTTGCTATTGTTTGGCTTTCTTTTGCTGCTAGTTCGGTTTGGTTTGGTTTGGTGTTTGTGTTTTACTTTGAACTTCAGCAGAACTCATACTTGAAACATGAACATCGTCTGGCAGTCCTGGCAGGGCAGGTCTGGAAGTGAGGCTCCCCTCAGAGCTGGCTTCCCACCAGCTGCTCATCCCTCACCACTTGCACTGTTCTTTCTGTTGTCATCTTCCATTTCCCGGCCTCTGAGTTGGCCATCCTCAATACCAAAAAGCAGTTTAATCTCAGTTCTTAAAAACCTAGTAAAGTGCTGACGATGTTTACAACAGACTGTGGTTTTGAGGATGTGAGATAAACACAATGTTAACTTTATAATCCCCAAGTTTCTGCAAACTAGAGTGTGGGTGCTAAAATGGAGGAGCACACAGGCAAAACAAACAAACAAACAAACAAATAAATAAAACAAAAACCTAGTTATTGCTTGGGGGGAAAAGAGTCTACCAGAACAACACCAATACTTCTGCAAATAGTCCATAAAATTCAAAGAAGAAAAGAATACTCCAAATCTCACAGTAAGATAGTTTTATCTTGATTATCAAAATCAGATAAAACACAACAAAAATAAAAATTTATTGGCCAATTTCCTGCACAAACATAGATAACAAAATTTTTGCACAAAATAAATTGTAAACCAATTTCAAAAATATATCAAAAAATCATTCATCATGACCAAGTTGGGTTTATTTTAGGGATACATGTTCAATATGAGTAAATCAATAACTGTAACCCAATCATATATACTCAGAAATCACATGATCTTAATATATAAAAGGTCTTTGATAAAATCCACTATCTCTTCAAGATAAAAGTCCTGAAGAAACTGTGAAGAGAAGAAACACACTTCAATATTCAATGGCTGGGTAGGGAAACAAAGACAGGGTTCCAAGGCAAGGGAAGGAGCAGGAAGAGATCTAGCTGCCATGCTGGAAGAGAGTAGATGGCATGCTGAGAGGTGCCGAACAGAGAACACAGCTGCCATGTAGGTGCTGGGGACTCAGCCAGAGAGGGCTGCAGGCCTGGGTCCATGACACTCAAGATGGAGTACAGGTTTTAGTAAGTGATAACTCAGGAATATCGGAGGGGTGGCTTGGAAATGGCCCAACCTGTAGTGAGGAGCACCACTGGGGCAGGTAGTGAGGAGCACCATCGGGGCAGGTAGTGAGGAGCACCACTTTCACTACCTGGGGCGATTTGAGTAACAATCTTTGGATACAGCAACATCATATCATATACATGTACATATACATATACATATACATATACATATACATATACATATACATATACATATACATATACATATATATATATATATAGAGAGAGAGAGAGAGAGAGAGACATACATCCAACATTGTAATAATGGGGAAAATGAAAGCATTTCCTCTAAATCCGGGACCTAAAAATGGGTTTTGACTTTCTCCACTCTTAGTATAATACTGGAAGTCTTTGCTAGAGCAATAAGACAAAAGAAAAAAAAGGCAAAGCAAAGGGATACAAATAGGAAAGGGTGGAACCGAGGTATTCTTATTCACAAATGATACATGTTGCCTCTAGGCCCCACCCAACACTTACCTGGCAATAGCCAGGTAGGCCTGCCTTTCTATAAAAGGGACTATTTGGCCCTTCCTCCATCTCTCTGCCCCTTTTCTCTCTCTGACTTTCTGAACCTCTTTGCTCTCCCTGATCTCACTCCTCTCTTCCATTCGCCCCTTCCCCCTCTCTCGCCACATAATCCTGGGTGGGCCTCTTTCTCTCTCTCTCTCTCTCTCTCTCTCTCTCTCTCTCTCTCTCTCTCTTTCCCTCCCTCCCTCCCTCCCTCTCCCTCCCTCCCTCCTTCCCTCCCTCCCTCTCACTCTCTCTCTCTCTCTCTGTCTCTTTCTCTCTCTCCTCTTTCTCTGCCTCGATTCCCTTCTTATTTCCCTTCCCATGTCCCCAAATAAACTCTATTCTATACTACAAGGGACCTGTGGCTGGTACCTGCCGAGGTGGCACCCCTCCCACATCACCACACCATGCCCTATAAAACATATCCTTGGCTTAAAAAAAAAAAGCAATTCTCTGAAAGATTCCACTGTTATTGCTGATAAACATTTGCAAAAACATTGCCAGCTACAAATTAATGTATTAACATATTCAAGATGATAACCATCAAAATTAATGGTATTTATCACAGAAATAGAAAAAAAACCTTAAAATTAATGTGAAAGCACAAAAGGCCTCCAATAGCTATAACAATCCTCAACAAAATAAATCAAAACTAAAATAAACAAGGCACAAACATCATATTTTACTTCAAGTTACATTACTAAACCATAGTATAAAACCAGCATAGTACTGGCACAAAAACAGGTATTTTGATCAATAAAACAGAAGATTTAAGTATAAATTCAGGTAGCTCCAGGCACCTGGGTTTAGACGATGTTGCCAAAAATTATCATTGGAGAAAAGTCATCGTGCTCTTTAACAAATGGTGCAGGGAAAATTGGATATTACATGGAGAAGACTGAAACTACATCCTCATCTCTCATCCTGAAAGCAGGTGTTCACACACAAATACAGACACACATAAACACACAACTCTAAATAAACAAAATGTTTAATACTTAGAACTCTAAAACTAGTATGGACAAAACTAGGGATAACACTTCAAAACATACATCATACATACAGGTAAAGACTTCCTCATAGGATCACATTTACTCAGGGCTTAAGACAAACAATTAACAAATGGGTTTGTATAAAACTAAGACTGCCATTACACCAAAAGAAACTGTCAATTAATTGAAGAGGTAGCTTGTAGAACAGGATAAAATCTTTGCCATCTGACTGAGGATTAATATCTAGAAATACACAAAGAACCGAGAAAGCAGAGGAACCAAAGGGTGAGCATAGGAACTGAACAAGGAGTTCTTAAAAGAAGAAACATAACAGCTAGTGGATGTTCTTTCAAAGTTTCCAACATCCTTAACCATTAGAAAATTCTAATCAAAACTACATTGAGATTCCCTATAACTAAATCAGAAAAAATAACATTAAAAGAAAAAGACAACAAATGTTGACTGCACTGGAAAGAAATGAATTATCAGTTATTGTTGGTAGGAGTGTAGATTGGAGTGCCCATTATGGAAATAAATGTGGAATTTTCTCAAAGAAAACCTCCTAACCATAGCCTCAAAGCACACTGTATCTCTGTTTATTGCTGCTCTATTCAAAAATCAAGGAAATGGAATAAGGCTAGATGTCCAATAAAAGATGAATGGATAAAGAAAACATGGGACATATACAATATGAAATTTCATTGATGCATAAAGAAAAATTAAATTATGAAATTTGTAGGCAGATACATTGATCTGGAAAATATATTAAAGGTGGTAGCTCAAGCTCTGAGAGACAAGCATCACATCTCCTTTATATGTTTTTATTTTTAAATGTCTGTGTGCTTATACAGGAGTAGTTGTGGAGAGACGCCAAGAGATAAGAAAAGGTCCCACAGAAGTAGGGAAGAGGCCTTAAGGGAGAGGGCAGGGGGATGAACACCACTTTATAATTATTGTACCCATTATATCCAAAATTATCTGGAAGATAACTGCTCAGCAGTTAAGAGCATTTGCTTTTCTTTTAGATGACTTGGGTCTGGTTCCCAGAACCTACATGATGGCTTACAACCATCTGTAACTCCAAGTCCAGATGGAACACCCTCTTCCAACCTCTTTTGGTACCAGGCACATGCATAGTATATATGCATGCATTCAGGCAACATATACACATAAAATTTAAAAATCTAAAGTGGAAAGATAAAAAGCTTCAGTTTTAACATTTGCTTTGTTTAAAATCTTTGACTGTTTAATTACAAGAATAAACTCAGTTCCCCCATTATGCCACATGATAATTCAAAATATGATTATCAACCAGTCATTTTTCCATTCTTTATTCCATCTGAGAAAAGTTCCCACATCATTGTGGATTCTCCAAGTTAAACCTCTTAATTTTGAATCTTGTCACTTGAACCAGCCCGTTTTGTCTCTTGATTAGCAGTACCAAATAAGACCGTGGGCTATCTTGGCGGAGCTCAGCACTATTAAGAATCCAAGAGGCCAGTAAAGCCGTTGAGCATCCGAGGCAGGTTAGTGAGAAAGGAAAGCCGTGCCTGGCTGTTCTTTCATCTGACCACAACCTGGCACAAGATCTTAGTCAACGTGTAGCATAGTACAAGAACCCCTAGCAGGTTGCCCCCAAAGCAGTCATTTTCCAACTACACTCAAATGAAAAACTGACTAAGCAAGTAATTTTGAAGTTATAGCTTAACTACTACAGGAAATAATTAAGTACAGGTAAAATTTTCTCATCAACATTTAACATGAGTCTCAAAACACAGTAGACATCAGTAGGAATGATTGTTATATGAATCTGAGCAATAAAATGTTTGTGTTTAACTCTGAGTTCTAGCCATCCTAGATTACTAAGCATGCATAAAAGGCACATTACATTGTAGAAGTTGGGGGCTTTGGATAGATGGGGCAGAATATAAAACCATCCTAGGAATTCTAAAAAGGATATTTGTATTTCTCATACCGAAAATGGTGATCCATGGAACTCTCAAAGCTGATGTTTCTACAACTTGAGCCAGTGTTACAAAGAAGTCCTTGAACAAAAGGAAGAACACCCCGGCTGGGCAGATCCCGGGCTTGCAAGTAACCTGGTCATAAACACAAGTGGGGAATTAGTTCTGACAACTATTGTCCAAAGTAGAGTGCTATCTATATACAATGACCCTGGCTCCCTATCCAACCATATATAATAAGCATGCTGAGCTTCTGTCCAGGCAGTTGCTTCCCCATCTAGGAGCACAGCACACCAGAACCTAACTTTTCTGTGTCGGTATATTTGCTCTTTCTTTATTCTCTTGCTGTCTCAGTTAGGTCAGTTCTGGAGCCATGCAGGATACAAAAGATGGTGCCCAAACGGGGCCATAAATAGTAGATATGTGGCTATGGGGAACTCTCATTGATTAGAAAAAGGGAAAATGATCTCATGAGAAGCACATTAATAAAATAAAGAAAGAATTAAGGGTAACAGAATGAATAAAGTAATGGAAGGAAGAACATTTTAACATAGGCAGGTATATATTAATGAAAACAGTCTAGAGATATGCAGTTAAATGTTAATAGGATCTATAACTAGTTGTATGTTAACAGGTAGAGTCTAAAGGTACCTGTTACATGTTAGTATTTACAGAGAGATTCTTGGAACAAGTGACAATGAGAAATAAGTAGCTTTATGTTGGTGGTTTGGATATTTGGTGAAACCATGGAATGGGGTGGAGACTTCATTGGTTCTTGAGCTGTGTTACAGAAGTGTGGCCTTGGTTTTGGAGGAAAGAGGAAATTAATTTGGCAATCTGAGAAAAATAGGTACTAGAAAAATGATGGGTGAATGCATGACTGGGTTTCATCCTGTGGCTTGATCATATCCTCCCATAACTGTATATTCTTAGGACTTTCTCCATTTTGGAGAACATTTCTCTAACCATCTGAAGTACCTCTGGGCTCCATTCATTCATCTATTCAGCACAGGTTATGCCCCTGTAATTTAGAAAGGATTTAGCATCTCACATAGATTATGGATTCATGAGTAGATATAGTTGGGAAATTATTGAGACTCACAATAATGATATCATGGATGTGGCCCAATTACATTGGCACATCCTAGAAAAGTAAAAAGGCTTATGACCAGGTTGTTTCTCCTGATAATACTGCAAAAATTACTCTTGTCTAGCTGGAGCCTTCAATACTAAGTTTGCTAAGACATTTCCTTTGGGCAAAGCAACTAGTAGGATCCTTCTTGGGGTCTGATGTCAAACACTGCAGAGAAACACCCCTGTACTAAGCATAAAGATTTATCCTGAACATCTAAGAAATAAGGAAGAAGGGAATGTAGGGAGCAAGTAATGTTCTGAATGAATGTGTATTGATTGACATGGATGCAGCCATGTCAAGAATCCAATTCAGTGATTCAGCTCCATGGAAGTAGCAACACCTTCCCAGGTGAGGCTCAGATAGATGGCAAAGCCTTCTGATTTGTATGTGAATGTAGAAAGAATCCACCATAGGTTTTCCCCTGGAGGTGTGTGGCACAGAGTCTACTTCCCTACAGACCCTCTTCCTATTGAGATTAACTAAACCTGCCTCCTTGTTCAGGTGTACATAATAACCACACCTCCTTATTTATCTGTATGTAATAACCCTGTGTCTATAATTTGGCTGTGTATAATAACCCTGCCTTCTGTATGCAATAGCCTACATCCCTATCCAACTACATATAATAAAATGCTGCACTTTGAGTGTGATACAGCTTCTCCCAGACAACCCAATTCTGAATTTGCTGCATCTGTGTGTAACATTTTTTCACCCCTAGCTGTTCCTACTCACAGTTCCAGGACTCAAGCCATGCAAAGACACAACAGGATATCTGTTCTACAAATTTACACTCCATAATGTTATGTTATTTACTCTGTTATTAACTTAAAAGATATTGGAGGAATTACTCAAGAAATACAAAACCCTTTTATACTTTGCACACCCTCCTCCCCAACAAATGATATAACTCTCACTGTATTTAACTACATTTCCTTATCAGGTGGTAGTCACTCTTCTGTTACATAGCCAAGCCTCTTGGAACAGCCATAAATCAACCATGAGTAGGAAAAATAAAATGAATGTTTTTAAGTTTGGGTAAAAGCTTTCAGACAGAAGCCAACCTGTATTCTTAAACATTGATATGAAATTTCTAAATGTCATAGAACAAAAATGCTTTACTGTATCGAATAATATCAAAACTTTTCAGGAATCTGGCATGGTGGTTCACACCTTTAATCCTGCACTGGGGAAGCAGAAGCAGGCAGATCTCTGGAATTGGATGCCAGCCTGATCTACATAGTGAGTTTCAGGGCAGCTAGGGCTAAATAAACAGACCAAGTCTCAGAAGAAGAAAGAAGAAGGAAGAGGAGTGAGGGCAGAAAGTGAAGAGAGGTCAAGGAAGGAAGGAAAGAAGGGAGAGAGGGAAGGAAAAAGGAAGGAAGAGAAAAACCTTTCAGGAAAAGTAGTCCTATAATGAGCCAATGTCTTAATAAAATGTTGGTAAAACATTCCCCAACTCTATCTGCCCTTCCTTTGCATGAGTGGATAGGACATGGAGATCTTGACAATGGCAGGCAACTGGGAAGCTCCTGATCTGTGTGCTGTGAGTCACAGATCATTCATAAAATCCAGGAAACAGCTTTCCCCTGATATCTACTTTGGGTCCGGGTAATAAACTCCTTCATTCGAACTTGAAGACCCACTATGCCAAGAATTTAGCACAATGTTTTTCACATAGAAGACATTCACTAAATATTTGATGACTTAATGAACAAACAAACAAGGATGAGTGAATGGATGATTGAAAATTTAAATGTGTTTGATGCTTAAGGGAAAATGAAATTATTAGCAAACACAAGACACAAGGTTCGATGGTTGTGTAATCCTTCTCAGGAATGCACCCAGAATAGAAGCCACTCAAGTGGCTGTTTGGTGGATGGGAGTTTGAGGTCTCCAACCTTGAGTGGACATGTTCTGATATGGAGTCCCGTATGACACTTCTCTCACTGTGTCATATCTCATATCTAATAGGCCATGCTGCTAGAATGTTCTTTGAGGGAATAAAAGACCCAGATACACAGTTGTTGAATGAATATATAAAATATTAAAAATTTAAAACCCTAAAAGAGATTTTCAGCTCTTCATAACTGAAATTCCAATGCCCTAGCTTCATCGCTTTCTATAATACCCAATGCCATCCTCATAAGCACAAAGGAGTCATTAGACCCATTGCCTGCCTTTTCAATATGCAAAAGCTAAATATTACTGAAAAGCTATTACAGATAAACATTTAATAACACTTTTCCATGGGAAGCTGGTAAAGTTAAACCACACATTTCAAGTGACACAGTCAAAATAAAACAGTGTCACCATTTTTCAAGAGATAACGGCTACTGGGCTTTCAAATTCAACAGATAGAATGGCCTGACTGGCCATACTTGTAGAGAAATGAACATTATTGTATGTTTATTGTGAATCTCCTTCACCACAGTCTCCACCTCCAACATCCTCACCACTATCATGCCCTGTTAAAATGAAAGGTGTCTCCTTTACCTCTGCTTCTAGCTCTTCCTAAGTGAATAAAGGTTTATAAATCCAAGCCTGGATCATTTCAGCTTGAGTGAAAGGATAAATCTATTTGCTAGATTGAGCAAACATTTATGAATGTCATTCTTAAGCAATGAAGAAACCTGAGTTGCCTCTTCCTGGCACATTCCTCAAGTATATTGCTGTCTTAATAGAGCCCTAATCATCTACCCCACTGAGGATAAAGTGTCAATAAACAACAGAGAAAAGTGAGGTTGTTTTTTTCTTTGGACATTTGTAATTTACCAGCTTCCCATGGAAAGATAATTATTATATTCTATTTAAACCAGAGACCCAGATGGTGAGACACTCTCAGGACTCATTGGGGTGACTTTAGTCAAAAATGACCAACACTGGGGAAAGGGAACCCAAAGAGCCTACCTTCAGTAGATAGACAGGGCCTCAAGCAGAGGGACATAGTTACTAACCTAGTCAAAATTCCTGACCCAGAATTGTTCCTGTCTAAAAGAATTGCAGGGATAAAAATGGAGAAGAGACTGAAGGAAAGGCAGTCCAATAACCAGTCCAACTTGGGATCTGTCTCATGTCTCATCGGGGGGCACCAAGCCCTGCCACTATTAATGAGACTATGGTGTACTTACAGACAGGAGCCTGGCATGGCTGTCCTCTGAGAAGCTCTATCAACAGCTGACTGAGACAGATGCAGATACTTACACCCAACCATTGGACTGAAGTCAGGGACCTCTATGGTTGATCAAGGGAAGGATTGAAGAAGCTGAAAGGGAGAATAACCCCATAGGACCTCAACAAAACCAGACCGCAAGGAGTTCCCAGAGACTGAGCCATTAACCTGGAGCATTCCTAGGCTGGTCTGAGGCTCCTGACACATATGTAGCAGAGGACAGCCTGGTCTGGACTCAGTGGGAAAGATGAGCTTAATCCTTGAGAGACTTGAGACCCCAGGAAAGGGGAAGGCCTGGTGGGGGGAAGCACCCTCTGGTGGCAAGGGGGAGGAGGAACAGGATGAGAAACTGTGGGAGGAGGCACTGGGGGGGGGGGCAACAACTAGAATGTAAATAAAATAATTTAAAAAAAAAACATGAAACTTACAATTCTCTCTGTGTCTGGGAGGTTCTTGAAAACGAAGCACTATCAGAATCATGAACAGGATACATGGCCAGAAGAACTCAGCCAGGGAGAGGACCTGGAAAACACAAAAGACAAAATGCTGAACATGTATCTAGGCACTATAATAGACCCACCATTTGAAGGATGGTGGACTGGCAGGTCAGGCTACTTTCATAGAAAGTCACTGCTGCCCCTGTCTGGGTTGTGAGCATACTTGTCAGAAACATAGATAAACACAGTGTCAGAGTACATTGAATAACAACAAGTTCACAAGGTACAATGGTTTCATTGACAACAATGTGCTAAAAAAGAATCCCACCCTTCTTTGCAGCTGGCCAAGGCAAGCATAGGTTCTTTTTATCCTATCTAAATCACCAAAATTAATATTGGATCATAAATTATACATTATGCAATAAATCTAACTCTATGTGTATTACAGAATGGCTACAGAAGAGCTGTAAGTTCCAACCAAGTCCAAAGAATTTCAAAGAGGCTTAAGGTAGAGTCTGATAGGGGTGGGTAAAGTCCCCATGGGGAATGAGGTGGGTGGGTGTGCCTGAGGTCCTCATTGTAGCTGTACCCTTTGAGGGGAGACTACAGAGTCAGAGATGAGCCACACTAGTGCAAGATACAGGATATTGGAAGCTGTAGAAGGGAGAGGCAAGACTGGGTCCCAACAGATGATCCAGTAGACAGATAGATGACAACCCAAGAAGTACTCATGAGCATCAGGGACTGAAGCATGCTGAAGACCCTAGAACAGTTGGGAGTTCTCTGCCTATGGGTCTCTTGACACAAACACTGAGTGATCAGGTTTGATATGCTAGCATGGCTTATATGTGTTTCTCTTTACAGAGTCCAGGAGAGGAAGTTTCACCCTTTTCTCAGTCTGGCACACACACAAAGTTCTCAGGCCTGGTTTTCCTGTGACAGTTTTACTGTTGTCTACCTATATTCTTCCAATCTTGATTTTTCTCTGACAAATTTATAGTGAGGCACCTTTCTGTGTTGAGAAACAGTTATTTATCAGACTGTGCCTGGTGGGTAGCAATTGACAGATTCTCTCTTCACCTCTGGCGAGATCCAGTCATCCCATGTCTACATTGTACTCTAAATGAGTCTATGGGGCAGGACATAGACCAGTAAGCCCCTTGCACATAATGCAAAGTAACTGAAGGTCTGGCATAGCCTGATCTCAAAACTCTTTCTCCAGCATCCAGGCTTAGTTGGGTCTGAGAGAAACCCCAGAATCCAGGCTCAGCTGGAGTCTGAGAGAAGCCCTGGGACCCAGGCTCAGTTGGGGCTGAGAGAAGTCCTCGCTCATTTCCTTGAGATCCCAGTCCATGATCTCTCCTTCTCATCTTTCTCACCTGTCCTGGATCATGTCCCTTTCCATTTCCAAGACTGTTTTAAATTTCAGAAGTGTCATTAAAGTTAAAGGACTAGAATCTTCACCCTCATTTCCTGTGTTCCAACAGATCAACTCTTGTTCATTTTTCTCATGTCTTCAACCACATCTGAGAACCCCACTCTCACTTTGCTGGTTATACAATACTCAACCAAGTGAATATACACAGGCCACAGGTCCATGCTTCTAAAGAGCAATACTTTGTGTGTTAAAATAACCTGTGCTAAGAATTGCTTTAGGCAAACTGAAATAAACTCCTCAACCTAAGATTACTATAGTCAAATCTTTGGACACTCTAAAGAGCTACCCAGAGGATTGCAGTAATTCGAAAGTCCTACGAACTATCTTTTCAGTGCCAGGACTTGAGCCCAGGGCCTCATGCATGCTAGGCAAATGAGTTATCACTGAGCCATAAATAGCCCTAACCTTACATTTTCAAAATTAAAATGAACTGACAATGGAATAAGGAACTGATGTGAGAAAGGGATACAATCTTTAAGCCAATGTTATTTCGAATAATCCTTATTGATTTCAGCCCATCTCATCTCTCTAATACACAACATGGATAAGGCAGTAGATAAGTTCACACCAAAAACTGCCTAAAACTCAGCAAGCTAAAGTGTCCAGTCAGACACAAAAGATGGTGTCTTATGGCTTCAGATTCCAAGTTCTGATGCTTGAACTGAAAGTGAACTTCCTGTCTCTTTGGCTTTTTTATTTCTCAACCTGCCATTACCATCTCCCTCGCACCGTACTTGTTGGTGACAGGCAGAGAACAAATCTCCATGTAACCAAGTGAGTGTGCTCCCTCACTCAAACCAGCAAGAAGAACACAGGTAGGACAACATCTGAATCCCTGGTATAATTGAAGAAACAAAATAACCCTTTGAAATCGATTCCAAGGAAGTATTTCTTGAGCCAAGAAGCAGAGGATAGAAAGATTCTGACAGTCCTGCTGCAACTCAATATCTCATGTTCACATAAAGAGAAAGAGGGCTGTACAGGCTAGCCTCAGACTGAAGCACTTAAAGCTAAATGAGATAGAAAGATCCAGAGCACTGGCAGGAGCCTACTGGACTGTGAACATGATCAAAGAGGGAAAGGCACATGTATGGAAGAGTTAACATGAAGCCATTAATGTGTACTAGTTACTAATAGTATGTCCTAATAGATACTAACCCTTCCTGATCCTTGCAATTAAAACTGGTGACCAAAAATGAGTTAAGAGGATGTAATTCATAGTATTGTTCTGGTCACTGCATGTATCAATAAAGCAATTTACTGTATGTTGGGATACGGAACTTTTGAGTAGGGTAGGGTTCTATACTTACAGATGGATATAATGTATTAAATAAGCATTTAAGAAAAAAGCAACATTTTTTCATAAAATTTTTATTGATTATTTGGGAGTTTCACATCATGAACCCTGAGCACACTCACTTTCCATTCCTCCCAGGTCTACCTGCTACCATTGTCCCTCCTCCCTCCCCCCCAAAATAAAAAGAAGAAAAAGAAAAAATGGCATATAGTGGCTAGCTTTTTTAAACTTATTATTGGTTCTTTGTGAATTTCCCATCATGCACTCGAATCCCACTCATCTTCCCCTCCTCTCCCACCCTTACAACATCCCTAACAACAAAGAAGACAATCTCATGGAAACGGTAGTGTGTCATGGTGTTACACAGTATATCCTTTTTCTATACTTCCTTGCTAGCAAATGTTTATTGCAATGAATCTTTAGTCTAAATCAAGGCCTCTGGTTTCTGCTACTCTGTTGATACTGGAACCTCACTGGGACTATCCTTGGGTATCCTGTTGTTGCCCTGTGTCATAGAGATCCTATAGTTTTGGAACTATAGGACCTGAATTAGTCCTTTCATACACTCAGTAGTTCATCAATGGAGTAGATATTGAGGTGGGCCAATTCAAAGCCCTAGATCTGGGCCTGAGAGTTCTCTGGAAGCTCTCATGCCCTCTAAACCAGCTCACCAGCAACACCCCAGCCCCACCACTCACAACCAAGGCCAGCTTTACCCTGCCATTCAAACAAGGTACAAGTCCACTCTCCTAAGTGTTTGTGGCTGGTGAGATACATGGCCAATTCTCCCACTCTCATGACCCCAGAGCCAACTCTTCAGCCTGCCATAGATGTCAATGGTTAAAGAAGGAGAGAAGGGCATCTCTCTCTTGTCCTCGAGTAGCTAGCTTTTGATAACAACATTATAGAGAAGAAACATTAAAGATCAATAAACTAATAAAACAAAGTGGTAGTTGATATAAATAAATAGATAAATAAATAAACAAATAAATAAATAAATAAATAAATATCAAATTTCAAAAGTAAACTGGAACTTAATTATTATCCCAAATGATCAATGACCTTGAGTTTCTTAATTCATATAAATATACATGTATATGTGTATTACATAAGTATAAAGCTTACAAAAACAAGTTTTCATATCAGCATTGAAAGATCTGCTTCTTTTTTTTTTAAATACTAATTAATCCTCCAATGTCAGGTTATTTGACCAATCACCTGCTTATGGAAATATGCCTGCCTTTCTGCTTGGTGACCAAGCTACCATGGACTTTCTTATGTTCCTGGCTCACTTGTGAGAGAACATGGCAAAATTCAATCCATGAGCAAAAGTTCACTTGAATTGGATTCTGGATTTGAGTCTGGTACAGAGAACTGTAGCTCTTTAACTAAGAGTGAAGCCTGATCCTCACTCTGTCCCATCTCACCCCTACAGCATGCAGGATTAGCTCCCTTAATTTTTGTTGTTTTCTGGCAGTGCTTGGGGGTCTCACCCAGAGCCTCTGGCATGCTAGACAATCATTTCACCCCTGAACTACAGCTCCGGCCCCAGCTTTTAACTTCAGTCATAATTTTATCAAGTTGATATATAAAAGGAATTTACTTTCATTACCAGGATGAAAGTGTTTTTAAGCACCTAACAATTCCTTGCCTACTAATTCTCTGTTCTTTCAGGTCCTGATTTCTCTCTTAAGTCATTTTTAACTATCTTGTAAATCATCATTTTCTGGTTTTTGATTAAAGAATTTAACCCTTTCTTGGTCTTTGGTGGTCCTGATATTTTCTCTCTATTTCATTTGCCTTTTTTGTTTTGCTTTTTGTTTGAGATGGGATCTCTTGTATAATCCAGGTTTGCCTCACACTCACTATGTGTTTGGGGCTAGCCCTGAACTGTGGACTTCCTAACTCTACCTAAGTGCTGGGGCATATGCCCATCTTACTTGCATTTTTATTATTTAAATCTTTCATGCCAGTAACTTATCAATTAAAAAATTAGTATCTTCACTGTCTTTCCTAGATGCAGAGAAAATGAAGTTTAAGGAATTTTGCCAAATAAACTGTGTCAGCCATAACTACAAATATTATCAATGTAGTCTTAAACCCATGACAAATTTGTAGTTGCAAATTAAAATCACTGCAAGTTTTATAATTCCACATCCCTTCAAGAAGATCCTTTGAAGATTTTAAAATTCAAAAGGAAATCCAATTAAACCTAAAAGAATACTACTTCTGAGATTTTTTTAATTTACAAGCTGGTCAACTGTCCGTTTGAAAACTGCAAGTAGGAAGAACTTTCTACTGTTCTGAATCTGAAATTATCCCCAGAGGAAAGCATCCACAGAGAGGCTAA